ATAAGAGACTGCATCTTAACACTGCATGGCACATGAAAATGGTGAAAAACTAAGCAGAAAGCTTTGTCTTATCGCTTTTAAAATAATTCAAACACTAAAATTCTAAAATTAAGCAGACAACACTGCCACCAGTGACCACCTATTGAAGTCATGCCAACAAGGCTGCCACCAGGGACCACTTATGGTAGTCATGCCAACAAGGCTGCCACCAGCTGGGACCACTTATGGTAGTCATGCCAACAAGGCTGCCACCTGTAAGGGGCCACTTATGGTAGTCATGCCAACCAGATTGCCACTGCCACTACCATGCTAACATGCCATTAATATGCCACCACCAAAGCTACAAGAAGAGTAATAAGATATACAAGAAAGAGACACTGCAGATTTACAGACATGCTCAGAGGTAGTTGGACAGCTAACAAATACAAAATCAAGGTGCATCTGATTAATGTCTAAAATAAGCTCTGTGCATGTTCCATAAGTTAGCATTATTTCTGAAACTGGTCAGCTCTGTTTCGTTATTTATTCTAATGAGGCACCAATATCATGAGGCAGCTAGATTTCAGTCCAAATAAAATATTTATGATATCACTAATTTTCATAAAATTCAGCCTACATTTGATGTACTTGCCAATATCCAAATGTTGGATTTAAAGATTTGAAGGCACCAATTTCAATATTTTTAATGCAATGGTTTCATTTGTTTAAGATTTATAGGAAAAGATGAAATTGAAGACATTAAATCAATAAGTTAAAATATTTCAATCTTCTTATATAACTTAAAGCTAAAAAATGTTCAATATACAAGTGGTTAGAACAAAGACAAAGGAAGGTCTGGTAGTTAGGCGAGGTCACTGAGGACAGAAAACAAAGGAGGGGAGACAAATGGCTAGGGAAGGGAGATAACTGATAGTTGGATGCGAGCCTGGACAGCGAGTCTGAGAGCTGTAGCCACATCAACATTAGTAGTTAACTGCAACAAAATTAACTAAAGCATGGTATTAAAACAGTTATACATGTTTTATTCTATACAAAAAAAAGTCATGTAATACTGCTTTGATAAAAATATATCTAAATGTCCTGATGATGTCAATATCATTTGATACAAAATTCTTTTTAATGTTATTTTTTTCTTAATTCCTTCAAAGTTCAAAAATTCAATTGCTTTCTACTTGTAATGTTGACTCTGAAGAGTGTTGGTTTAACTTTATTTTGAATGTCAGATTTATTTTTTAACCCTTTTAATTCAATTTAAAATATAACGTATAGCACTTTGTAAATGCTATTTTATTTTACCATTTGTTAACCCTTTCACCCCTATGTAACTTTAGTAGACTCTACCATGCATTGACCTGGATGAGTCCATTATGGTTTACAGTGGTGAAAGGGTTAAATAAGTAAATTATTTGCATAAAAACCTGCAAAAAATATCATGTAAAGCTACGTAATTCCATAAACTGTTCTCTACTCGGTCAATTTCAATAAAATTTGATTTGAAGAGTTATTAAAAATCCATAGCTACGTTAAAACAGACATTAGCTCCCCTAAATCAGGAAAAATGCCTTTTAAAACAAGTTTCATTGAGAACAGATTTGTTTTCATTAATCCAATAACTTTTTTTGTCAAAAATCTCTTTGATTTTTTTACAGAGACATGCCTAGAAATGATTTTTTTACAGAGACATGCCTAGTAATGATTTTTTTACAGATACATGTCTAGTAATGATTTTTTTTACAGAAACTTGTCGAGTAAGATCATTATACAAAATTCTTAAGTCAGCAAATTTCCATACTTGCGCCTCAAACTGTAACAAGTAAAAGAACTACTTTTTTTGTTTCATAAAGAGAAACAGTTCATGGATAAAGGCAAATTTAACTAACCATTTACTAGATTGTGACAGTGAAATCATCTACTGAATAAAACTTTAATATATGTTCATTGTAAATATTCTTACAAAAAGTCAATATCATTTTGATAATTAGTTGTGCATTATTTTTAACATTGAACACAGTGAAACCTGTCTAATATAATCATTTCTGGAGTCTAAATGAATTGGTTTGATTACACAGGGTTGTAGAATTACACAGGTTTTTAGTGCTGTTTACATGAAAAGCGAATGCATCTGTAGGGCGGGTTATGTTAGGATATCAGAATACTCTGGGATTAATTGCATCAGACTGTTCAGACAGGATTCACTGTTATATATAATTTCAGCTTCTATTTTTACAGAAGTTTTCTCCAAATTCAATATGTATCACATATGTAAAATTTCAATCAAAATCAGATTTGTAAAACCACAATTATTAACAAATTAATTGAAAACTACAGGAAAGCAAAAACAGAAAAATCAGAACATCATATCAAAGAAAGCATGCAAACGGTAAACATTTTTAACAGAAATCAAGGTAATGATCACGAAAAGGAAACTGTATCATGCAAATAGAGATGATATTGAGCAATGGCAAAAGGTTTGACATCTGTAAACAGAATGTTGGCATTTCAAGTCCCCTCTATGACTGTTTGGTCAAAATGACTTGCATATTCTGCAAGAAGTCTGGCAGGGGAATTACAGTTAGGGACAGTGTAACACGTTACTCCAGAATAGCTCTTTTGATGACATAATACTACATCATTATAATTATGCCTGTGATTTTTGTATAAGAGTTATCACCCTTTGAAATTATCACTAGTTTTATCGATACATGTACTCTTGTGAACCTTTCAAATATTATTTCAAAATTATATTCTTACACAATATTTTTTCAATTTTTAAATGTGAAACACTTTTGGAACGAAGATTCATCCTTCATACCCATGTATTTCAATAGGTAACATAACTAGGTAACATACATCTTTAAGTCTCCATGTCACAGTAAGGTATCATACATCCTTAAGTCCCCATGTCACAGAAAGGTATCATACATCCTTAAGTCCCCATGTCACAGTAATGTCTCATACATCCTTAAGTCTCCATGTCACAGTAAGGTATCATACATCCTTAGGTCCCCATCTCACAATAAGGTATCATACATCCTTAAGTCTCCATGTCACAGTAAGGTATCATACATCCTTAAGTCTCCATGTCACAGTAAGGTAGCATACAACCTTAAGTCTCCATGTCACAGTAAGGTATCATACATTCTTAAGTTCCCATGTCACAGTAAGGTATCATACATCCTTAAGCCCCCATGTCACAGTAAGGTCTCATACATCCTTAAGTCCCCATGTCACAGTAAGGTATCATACATCCTTAAGTCTCCATGTCACAGTAAGGTATCATACATCCTTAATGCTCCATGTCACAGTACTTAGGTAACATACATCCTTAAGTCTCCATGTCACAGTAAGGTATCATACATCCTTAAGTCTCCATGTCACAGTAAGGTATCATACATCCTTAAGTCTCCATGTCACAGTAAGGTATCATACATCGTTAAGTCCCCATGTCACAGTTAGGTATCATACATCCTTAAGTCTCCATGTCACAGTAAGGTACCATACATCCTTAAGTCCCCATGTCACAGTAAAGTAGAATCCATCCCTAAGATATTTCAGTGTTCCTCAGTCATTTAACCAACAATCCTTGACAAGAGAGGTTAGTATACCCTAAATCCCATCCATTTACTTATTATTATTAACTGTCCAGCTAGTCTGTCCAATTAAATACAAATATTAATGGTTTTGTGTCCAATTCAATACAAATATCAATGGTTTTCTGTCCAATTCAATACAAATATCAATGGTTTTGTGTCCAATTAAATACAAATATCAATGGTTTTGTGTCCAATTGAATACAAATATCGATGGTTTTGTGTCTAATTAAATACAAATATCGATGGTTTTGTGTCCAATTAAATACAAATATCGATGGTTTTGTGTCCAATTAAATACAAATATCAATGGTTTTGTGTCTGATATAACACATACAATGTCCGTGGTTTTACTAACTCTCAAAACGCATCGCAATAGAAAGGCTTCTATTTTCCAAGTTCTCCTTTTCTATACAGGCATTTGAAACATCAAAACTGAATGTCATCAACATACGACACTTACAATAATATGTTGGAGATAATAGATCAATGATTTAACCCATTATGGTGTATTTGTTGACATTATACTCTACTCAAAACATTTTATGGAACAAAGTAATGTGGATTGAGAGTATCCCGAAAATCCCCTGTGGAAGCAATAGATTGCACTGAGTAGTGAGTACAATGCTTGAGCAAATTACAAAGCATCTGCACATGCATGTTCTGTTGAAATAAAGAAGATTTTAAAATTTCATAAAAAGCCTGAATTTTGTATAAATTAAATTCTGATTAACTGTCATATTAAGGCTATAATCAATCACCTGAATATTTTGATAATACAAACCTTTTACTGCATATTTAAATTCATCATGTTTTCTTTGAGTTGCGAAATGTACAGCGAATAAAATACGGGCCGACAACAAAAGCCTATCGACTAAATGGTTTGCATATATGTAAAACTGTGAAAGGAATTAACAACATTTTATCTCATACAGATGTTTGGAAACAGAATATTCTTAACCCTTTCACTCATATTTAACTGTAGTAGACTCTACCATGCATTGATCTGGACGAGTCCATTATGGTCTACATTGGTAAAAGGGAAACAAAGGAAAGATATTGCTTCACTGCATGTGCATCTGATCCTATTTGTCCTCAATAGGTCCAGGAGCCACCCGAGTGATGAAGAAGTCAAATAGGGGAGATAAGTCCGTCTTAAACAGAGCAGAAATATCCTCATTGTGTGAGGTTAGTATTTAAACTTTCAAATATCTATCCCCAACTCCTCATTAATCTGTATCAGGAATGTTGATGTGATAAACCTATTATACTTGACTTACCAGTGTCATTACATGTATTAAGTTTCAGATATTATATATTTCATTGACATCAAATTAAGGGTTAGTAACTTTAAAGCACTACAAGAAGTTTTAGTCTAGAATATTACAAAGACTACATATACATTCTTACCATGTTTCCTTTCTGAGATAAGCATGGTGAAAATAAACAAGAAAACACGACATTATTGACAGTCCAGGTCACAGAAATTCACATATAAAATCTTTCACAACATTTTAAAATAATACAGTTACAAATCTCATCTATTTCTGGCAATGCTGCTTCTAAAACGCACCTTGAAATAATACAAATACTGTGGGAAATACAAAACTGATCAAAAATTACCATCCGAATATTTCAGAACACATGCTACTGTATGTTTTAAATGATGTTGTCGAATTGAAAAGACATTTTATCAACAAAAAAAAAGTAATTTTGTTATATCATGGATTTAAAAGAAAAGAAAAAATGTAAGGGAAATAACTCCTACAAAAATCAAAACTGTAAGGTAGCATACGTCCTTAAATTTCCACTCCAGCTTGTAAGTGTCAACATAAACTGTATACTCAACTGGAACATGAAGATAAAATAAAACACGAAAAAACCCATGAAAAATAACACTATAATGAAATATAAATATTTATTAAAAATTCATTTCAATTTCTTCTATGGAGAAATAAGAGATACTGTATATAGCTAATATTTAGGCTCATGGTAACATTTTAGAGGTCATAATTTGGTTTTTTATAAGTTTCATTTGCAGAATGAAATTAAGATAAAAATTGAATCTGTCATTAAATCACTAAAACTGAAAACAAAATATCCACATCCAGGAATTTAAAAGGATCACTTTGAGATCATTATGTAAACAAATATGATTGACAGGTATTATTTTTGTAAAATTGTTTTTGTAATTGCATCGTTGAGCTTAATAAGCCAGATCAAATTCTGTGAGTTCACAGTGATCATGAAAATACTTGTACATATAATATTAAAATGTATGTAACTTAACATTTAAATGTTGTCAGCATCTACTTCACTGTGTCGTTACACTTAAAGTGTATTTAACTTGCACCAAAATTACTTAATCACAAAAACGTTTTAAAATCTGTAAAACAATATTGTTTTTATGCAAGTTATTGAGTACAACAGCCAGGACAGTACTGATAGCATCTTGTAATGTGAAAAATTCTGTGCAATGCATGCAGATTTAAATTAATTGTATAGGTTTGTTCTGCAGGGAATTCACAAGTAAGTTATTGACAATTCCTCTCAACATTGACATTGAAGTGTACATACATGTATTGGTGCATTTCAATTAATATTGCATACCATATAATTGTATACAATCGTGCAATTTTAATACAGACCTGACAAGAATACTTGACTCAAAGTTTTTCCAACAATCTATTTAATTCAATATAAATTTTGCACAATCACGTGCTAGTTTCTTGTGAATATACATAGTCATGGCTTTCTCTCTGTGACCTTGACCCTTGAACAATAATTTCATGTTACATGACCTTGACCTTGATGTGCCCTTATGAAGTTTTGGTGTTTCATATGACAGAATGCACTGAATATCATGGAAAGCTGAAAACTTGCTAAAAACAAAACACATAAAGGACAGTTTACTAAAAAAGAACAGTGTAAGTTTTATCCAGTTTTTAAATTTGGGTCCAAGACAGGAAATACAATTGATGTCTAGGGGATTATTCCGTCTTTTCGTATTTCATAGTTTCCTGCTGAAGTGAGCAAGTATTGATTGTTACGTCATTAGTTTGTGTGAGAAAATTACGTCATTTTCTCAAAGATTTATGACGTTACTCGCACAAACAAATGATGTAACAATCAATACCTGCTCACAAGAGCAGATAACTCTGCAATACGAAAAGACGGAATATATAAGAAAGATTTTACCAACTTTGAAAGTTTTGTTTTTTTTTCAGTTCAGTTTGATGAGAACAATTTTAAGGATGGCATATATAGACACAAACAATGATAGTAATACTTGCAGAAGTTTAGAAAAAAATTAATGCACTGTATGTTTGTTATGGAAAATAAATAGAAGCACAGAAATTGCGTTTATGGTAGGCAACTACCAGTGTTAGGCTTAGCCTGAATAGGAGAGAGACGACAGATTTATAGCACAACAGCAAGACTTCAAGAACTATTTACCTTGAAAAATAGACAGAAGGCTCTAGAAAATTTAGCACAACAACACATGGGGTATAAGTGTGACCAAATGGAGGCGGCAGGCTTTGGTCGTGTCCGTAGAGGATATGTCCCGTAGGAAGTACGGTAAACGTTACAGGGGGGAATATCTTGGGACTCGCCTCGGTACATCCTCTAAGTGAACACAAGAGCGGAGAATCTGCATCATACACTTCCTCTTGTAAGAACATAACATTTACAGCAGTCACTGCATCATAGGTGGGAACATCAATGTTTGCTACTGTGACACGAAAAACAGGTTTGAATTTTTTACTTCCCATCATGACATAAGTAACACACGTTTCAATTCAGCACTTCCTGTTTCAACTTCAAATTACTTAGTACGAAAGTGTGCAACTGATTTTTTCAGAAAAAATAAAGTTCCAACGGTGTGAGTTGTCGATGCTCTATCAACATTATCAGAAAATAGTGCGAAATCTTTCTTATCAGAAAATTTCCTTGTTGCATAAGAGATGATGAGGATTTATTCATCATAAGAAAGAAATTGAAACTTCAGCCTTGTTCATTCGCCATTCAAAGTGTCATGACTTCAAGGACCTGCTGATGTCACATAAGGCATTTTAATAGTTTTTTTAAATTTCTCCTTAACTCATTTACCCCTGAAGACACATTTGAACTCTTCCAATTCAAAGGTTGGAATAGTTCACTATGAAATTTCAGGGGTGAATGAGTTAAAAGACTTGTATGAAGCTCAATTATTTGGCGAAATATTTTTTGTGATTCAGTTTTTATTTTCAAGATAATTTCCTGTTTAAAGATTCCCTTTCAATTGTAAAGTTCCACTATTTGCTGACAAAGTTCTTCCTGATCGTAAAAAAAAAAGACAACTAGAATTTTGATAAATATCCACCTGGCTACTGTGGAACAGCCTCTACAAATCCATGCAGGCTTCTCTAAACAATAAAGGAGCAACGCTCAAACAACTGAATCAGAAAACAAAAGAAGGAAGAGGACTGTAAACCTGGACAAACTAGGCTTCATGCTCACGTCAACCCCACCGTAATCAATAGCCGATCCACGCAGACGACCTGCTGCACCATCGTTAACATTTGTCATCTAATTTCGTTACGGAATAGCGATACGAAGAAAACAAAATCATATCAATGGCAGAGAGATTTCACACAGGTACAGAAATATGGAAGAGAATGTTAATGAAATATTATGATGACATTAATGATTAACCAAACATAGAAAGACAGTAACAATAGTACATGGCAAAATTACTGGAGCAGGGTTCACTTTAACTAGGGAAAACTTAATACTGTGTAGAAAATATAGAAGCATATACATAAGTAAAGGAAATAAAGCAGAAACACTAGCAGACACTCCGATGGTGTAGATGTTAAACTGAGTGTTTGCCTTTGCCAATTTCCCAATGTTACTGTACTAAAAGGTCATCAAGTGCAAACTCCATCCCATAATACTATAAACCTAGAGCAACATCTGGATACAAACTAGAGTTATGACTTCAATAACAGAAAATAGAGGAAGGGAGGGGGGGGGTAGGAGGGCTGTCTGTTCAGTCATCTTCATTCACAGCATGTACACTGTCATGTCTTTTTAGATTATAAACATGTGTAATAAAGATGGTAAGCTGTAGATAAAGAAAGGGTGAACATTTTAAGTTGTTACAATAATGGGTGTATTATACTGCTGCAGATTTAAGTGCATGTCATTAAAGTATTTAGTGTCAGTATTTCACCAATTCTATTCCAATTAATCCATCAGACTTAACTTAAAGATGCATACTAATAATTTTGGACTTATTTTCCATGTCTTAAAATGAGCTAGGGGGACCTGTTAAACATGTTTCTATCAAAGCCAGCAAGTTTTAGTTTCTAAAATGACGTCTGTATTAGTTACAAGTTTTATGTCCGGGGTACTCCTCCGGTAATGTATGACGAGTCTGGCCAAATAATGTTGTTTACAGTAATCCCACTGACCATTAACCTACAAAGGTAATTGTATTTTGTCTGTGGATCATTCATCATAGCAGATCTGACCACTGTTGTAACTTAATATGAGGACTTGTTCACCACTGATATACCTAAACTCGCTACGGCGACCTCGTTGCCTCAATCTGACCCCGATATATATATACCTAAATGCATTTTTTCACCAAGAGATAGGATATGGTGACATACTTGCCATAGGATGGAGATTAAATAATGTCAATCTAGGTATTTATTTTACTGATTTCTTGATCAATATTACAAAATATTTTGGTACAGAAATTAAGCTATTAAAACAATATCATATCTCTTCAGGCCACCTATGTTGTATGTCAGAGGTGAGTATGTATATGATACACAGGCTCTTATTTTCAAGGTCATTAGGTACCATACACAGGTATATAAGGTCATTAGGTACCATACACCGGTATGAAAGGTCATTAGGTACCATACACAGGTATAAAAGGTCATTAGGTACCATACGCAGGTATAAAAGGTCATTAGGTACCATACGCAGGTATATAAGGTCATTAGGTACCATACGCAGGTATAAAAGGTCATTAGGTACCATACGCAGGTATAAAAGGTCATTAGGTACCATACACAGGTATAAAAGGTCATTAGGTACCATACACAGGTATAAAAGGTCATTAGGTACCATACACAGGTATAAAAGCAGTAAATTCATCACAGGCAATATCTATTAGTATCGCACTGTAGGAGAATACCATACAGGGACAGAAATATGTTTGGACACGATACACTCAATGTTATTTCCATTTGAAGGTCACAAAATACCAAAAACAGCCAAAAAAGTAGAGTGATCAGGTTAAGCATCTGATAATTCATTTTTACCGGCTAAATGATCTTATTTCGAGATAAAGCATGTTACCGGCTAAATGATCTTATTTAGAGATAAAGCATTAACAGCGATGTTTGATAAATGTAACTTGTATACTAATGGTTGATGGGCTTGTATTGTTGGCTGCATACCAATCCTAAACAGCGATATCTGTGTTAATGTTGTAATTCTATTTTCTAATGATTCGGACATTCTTTCTAAAATCTGACCAATATATCGTGTCCCAAAGGATGTCGGTGTATGTACTAAATCTGCTAACATTATGATATTAGGTCCCTATATAGGTATTCCATATTAAAATGTACCTAACTTTTCATATATTTCCACTTGTTTGCTCATATATGACAATACTTTTGGCATGGGATGAAGATGGAAAGGACAATGCATGTCCAGGATTTTTATTTCTATCATTATATGTAAGATTCACCCCTTGCAAACCAAAAAATTGTGAGGAACATGCTGAAAATGATTTCTTTTGAGAAAAAAAGTACTGTCATAATGCTGTGCAATATGTCATGCTTATGATGGAGTTACATGGGGAAATCATGATTTGTGAAGATTTCTTCCTGGTCAGCTATCTGCAGTCATGATAAAGATGATCTAGTACAAACACACTTCTTATCTTATAGTTGGCTATCATGCTTATTTAACTCTGATTTATTCATTTTCAAATCAGAAAATGATACCTGGTAAACCTTACACCTTTATATAGTTTGAAAATTAAATAACTCAAGTTAGATAAATATGATAATTAATCACAACTTATTTGGGTAACATCTATTTATAAACATGTATCTGGAGATAAATCAGAACACCACACACTTACCAGGCTTACAAGTTATTCAATCAGTAAAAAATCAAAAAGTATATGCAACCTAGTAATTCATTTTAGCTCTTTGTACTATATATATTAAATGTATTGCCATTTCAAAAATAATACAAAGTCCTGTTAGGGTTTAATAGATAGACTAACGTGCCCTGTTGCCACTGGTCAAAGAAGGTAAAATTGCCACCATAGACAAACAATTTAGAATGATCAATATTTGAAAATGCGAATACCTTAAATTACTTCAAAAATATATTCTCAATCCGACTTGAAACAAATGGATATTTGCATCAGAAGACACATTCTTATTTCTTTTCCCCCAATAAGAGGCTTGTGCAAGACTAGACCTTTAATTTATACAGTTATCTCCCTTAGACTGATCAGTGGCAACAAGAAATTCTAAGTAGAACTTCAGTGAAACTAAAACCAAAAATGAACAACAGCTGAGAGAGAAAAACTTATCAGTGAGGTGGAAGCAGCATTGCCAGGTGTCATAAAATCATAAAAGTTTAAAATCATACACTTCACATACAGCCATATGATAATGGATGAGGAGAGAATCTAATTAAACAAAATAAAAACTTTCAAGTTGATCAGTGGGTCTGGATTTTCAAAGACTGGTCATCATAACAACAAAAGTAAACGAAATTGTTCATAACAGAAATGGTTGTATTTTCTTTAAAAAATGTGGAATTTACTCCTTAGAACTACAAAAGTTAATGTGAGTTAAACAGGTGTTGTACTGAACATGCTTTGAATAACCAGCCCATTTATCATGTAGTAAAGCTGACAGTAATATTTCTGTAAGATATTTCAAAAACAATTCAATTCTTCCAGTAATTTCTTGATCAATAATCAATTAAAATCAATCAATCAATCATAAATCTATTTCCAATAATTTAAGTAAACTATTTAAAAAAAATAAAAAAATAGCTGAAATTATATAATTAATATGTTGAATCCCTAAAATTAATTTTTGCAAATTTTTAAATTTGAAATTTCTTTAGATATTAAAAGAAATGACTTCTAAACCTACAATAGCTACAGGATTATTGGAAAATAATTGTACATGTGCATTCATACAGCATCTCACAAAAATCACCACCTTTTTTTAGTTCATAAATAATTCTACTGAAATTAAAAGTCGCGAAAAACAAATCTTTGAACATACAATTTAACCAAATTTCAACAAAGATTATTTTTCACTGAAAACACTTTATCATAATCAAAGTTTCAAGATTTATTTTTCCAGAAACAAACAAAAACGTTATTCAAATCTGAATATTAGTCATACTTAGGGATGGGTTACCAAGGTAACAGCAATTTTCACCAAGATAAAAACTGCTGAGATGCACTTGTGGTGACTTATCTCGGTAAACATATTATATATACAAATATATAAACGCTGCAACGAAATATTCATAACTCAAACATCAACTTGTTAGAAGATTCATGCTAAAAAACAAGGCGAACTTTGTGAAACATGTTTTATGTTAAGGGTCCCTGTCCCACTGCACACTGTTTTTTTCGTATTTACAGTAACCTCCCTTTAATTCAATTTTGGAGTATATACCGGTAGCACATTTGGGCCAAACAGTGTCTAATACATGATTGCAGTTTTTGACAGTGGTACGGGGATCCTTAAGACTGGATCATTTTAATAAAATACTGAAATAAGAACATATCATCAGCTGTCAACCATATATACAGAAAAAAAAGTAAGTCTGACTTGTAATATAATATAAACATATCCTACATATATCCTCCTATTACCCACTAGGACAATGTGTATCAACTTTCATTAGGTATTTATTAAAGTGAAATTTGAATTTAGATCATTTTCATAATAATTAAACTGATATTAAAGATATGTATTCTGACTAATTTTGGTAACCATACCAATATGTCCCATCACTGATAATACTCCTCTCTCTTAATTACCTGACCCTCCCCCCTGCAGTCACCAATGAGGGATCTAAGACGGACTGGGACTCTCGACATCAATATTTTGACAATAATGTTAAAGATAATACACCCTTACATTATATCTCTACCCCCTCAGACCTTACCACTAACGAGTCAAGGAATGCCTTGTACTTGGAACATCAGATTGTCCAAGCACAGTTGTAAAGATAATTCCCTCCACAACTTAATTACCAAGCCTCCTGTACTCTCAGTAATAAGTGGTCAAGGACAGACTGCCACCCGCCACATAAGACGTCTGTCCTTACACAGCTGTAAAGATAATACCCCCATAACATAATTACCCGACCCCTTGTATACTCACCACTGAGGGGTCGAGGGCAGGCTGGACTTGGGACATGAAGATGTCCCACCACAGTTGTAAGAACTCCTGGTTGTGGCCAGAATCAGGGAGGGGTTGGACTGTCTTTGTGGAAGTGTTGTATGGGTGATGCCAAGGTTTTGTGGCTCCTATAAAATGCACAATCTTTACATCTTGTTTAAATCTGGAAAACAAAACAGAAAGAAATTTGGGAATTTTAAATCACTTGCATCGAAGACATTACAGAAAAAGAATTACGTCTAGAATAAACACTTTGGATGTGTCTGTATTTTCTGACCTACTGTATATATGTAAGGGAGATCGTATTGGAGAAATAAAAAATTACTTAATAAGCAAATTTTTTTTCAACCAAAAAAAGATATAAAGCAACTTCACAGTGAGATATACTTATATTTTAGATAAGTAATAAGATCCAAGAAGACCTGCTACTACTACGTAAATTCAGGTACCTGTAAAAGGCTTGTACCACTAAAGAGTTTAGGTAGTGTAAATGTCTCGTGACTTACTACATGTAAATGCTGGTAGGTAACTGTAGAAGGCTTGTGACACTAAGATGTTTATAGCGAGTAAATGTCTCGTCACTTACTGTGTAAATGCAGGTAGGTAACTGTAGAAGGTTAGAAACTAAGATGTTTATAGCGAGTAAATGTCTCGTCACTTACTGTGTAAATGCTGGTAGGTAACTGTAGAAGGCTAGACACTAAGATGTTTATAGCGAGTAAATGTCTTGTCACTTACTGTGTAAATCCAGGTAGGGTACTGTAGAAGGCTAGAAACTAAGATGTTTATAGCGAGTAAATGTCTCGTCACTTACTGTGTAAATACTGGTAGGGTACTGTAGAAGGCTTGTGACACTACGTTGTATATAAAGGGGTAAATGTCTCATCACTTACTGTGTAAATGCTGGTAGGTAACTGTAGAAGGCTTGTGACACTACGTTGTATATAAAGGGTAAATGTCTTGCTATATCTTTGGTCGCCCAATCTCTGAAGTATATATTTAGTAACCCCTGATCACCACCTGTAAATAAGAAGCCAAATAATTTTAAATTACGCGAGATATATATTCACATCACTTTATTTCATGAGTAGAGTTAAGACTTAATTAATAATTATAATGATAACAATAATTTGAGGTTCTTATTTACTGCTTTCTCACAACCTAGTATGAGGTCTCAAAGAGGTTCACAAATTGGTAAGTTTACCTCTTTGTCACCTTGGTCACGAAGATTTCTTAACACAAAGACACGCATACATCTGTTTCCCCATCCATCCACCAACACCCACATGTCATTCCATTCATCATTTATATCATTTCTAATTCAAAACCTAAATTAAAATTACTTTTTTGTATTATTATTAAGAGTTACTCTACAATGCTTCATTTCATACGAGATTTATTTTATTAGCTGCCTGTAAAGTATTTGCGATAAATGGAGAAAAATTGGTGCTTTTCTGAGATTTTGATTTGAGACAATCAACTACATGTATTACCAGTGTTTTGCAAAATTTAAATGCATGCATTTGTTTCTTGAACAACACAAGGAAAATTCAATCTTAAAATGAAATGACATGCTATATAGTAACATTTTAAATAAAGTAGAAAATGTCTGTAAGACATGAATGACCCCGCTGGCATGTGAAATGTCAGTTTTGGTTAATGTTCTATAAATAGTTACAACTTGATATTGACACCCTAACATATGTATGCATTCAAGGTATTAATGATGACACTGAATTGTTTGATGAATTTTTATATGTAGCAACAGTGACCTTGGCCTTGACCTTAAACACAAAGATGTCGAAATATTATTTGACCTTGTTACTACTCTGACAGAGTTACTACTCTGGAGAAATAAAAAAAAATATTGCATATATTGAGGGTCTCAATTTGATGATTTTCTATATACAGCAAGTGACCTTGGCCTTGACCTTGAAGCCCTAAAACACAGAGATGTCAGAGGTATTCTCATACTTGACCTTTGTTTAATGCATGATCAAAATTCATCAAAGAATGAAGTTACTAGTGTTTACACCGAATCGTGACGGGACAGACTTGGGAAACACTAGTAGCCCCCTCCTCCTCCTACTCCTCAAATACTACGACGCAGACATAAGAAAGTTCCAGACTGTTATTTAAAATACTGTCACTTACCATCAAAACTTCCTTTAGCTACAGCGAAATCTAACAGTTTTTTGTATGTCTCGTCTGAGGGCCGGAACACAAACACTCCAGAGTTGAAACAGTCCGGCCAACCAGCGTCCGGGGCTGCAGACAATTCTTCTCTTTCAAACAGCTCGTCAACATTTTTTAGAACCTGCAGGGAAAATAGACAGTCACTAATAATGAATGTATCTACCACACGTAATATTACAATGTATACATGTATATCACAGTTGTTGACTATATAAACAGTTTTACCTTAATTTCTTAAATTGATACTCAACCTAAAATAGCAGCATTTGTATGATATGTACATCCATTTCAGTAGCAATGATGTGATCAAGATAACTGATCATCAACCTTGGCAGCTTAGAGTTTATTTTTCTTATGAACAGTTTTAGTATGTTAGATGATTACATTGGGATAACAATTATTCATGTTTCCTAACCAACTCTGTTTTCATGCTGACTCAAATTCATCATCAGAGAGCAGAGATATTTCGGTGGTCGGGTGGTACGGTGGATAGGGCACTCGCCTTTCACCAAGGCAGCCAAGGTTTGCTTCCCTGATCAGACATGAAAAGATATGGGGTCACCTGCCCAACCATGTGGGTTTTCTCCAGGTACTCTGGTTTCCTCCCACACTAAGACCCCCCCATGCGCCAAACATCCAGACCAACAAGAGTGATAATATAAGTTGAAATTACTTATTTCATAATTGTTGTAGAATAAATCAAATTTATATTTTAAGAACAGAGGTATTAACACTCCAAAATTCCTTTCAACCAAACCAATGTCACACACCTTAACCAGTGACCTTAAGTTAATATGACCTTTGACCTCTAAAAATACCAATTTCTTCAAGCACTTAATACGTTCTTTATGTTTCAGATGTTAATGTGAGGATAAATTGACCCAAAAAATTATACATCTATTGAGTCTATTAAGATTCAAAACATCAAATTTTTGTTTACTATCATGTCCAGATGAATAGGTGTCAAGATTAGTTTGCTGTGATAACATTTATTTTCAATATCTTTCAGATAAAATAAATCTATTTTTTTTAAAGTAAATTTAAATTAATATATTTACTTTTGTACTTTAAATTAAATTGAGATTAATTAATTCCAATGTAACAAGAAACCCAGCATATTTCATGCAATTTACATCTGTCCTACTGAAGGTTAAGAGTGAAATTTGAATGTCAACAGAAAGTTTCATCAGCAACACTTATATATACACAACCTGATTTCTATTACAAGAATTGATATTTTGCCAAGTAGATTTTCCATATTTATGTAACTTATTGTATATGATTACAGATATTTGGTCATGTTTTACACATTAAAAACACGGTGAATTGATAGGATCAAGGAATATCCTTTATAATTGAAAATAAAATCACATTTATCCGGCAAGGACTTTGTCACAAACACTAGATGGTAGTATATTTACTAGTACTGAACATGACAATTTAGTTTTTATCACAGGATCTTGCTATTTTTAGGTTTTTTTAAATTACTACATGAACATTGATTTTTGATAAATAACATATGTACCAAAAAACAACTGAGACCTCATTATCACTAGAAACAATAGTATCATGTCAGTTCATAGTAAAAGAGGAAAAGCAATTGGTTTTTTTCTCTTTTTTTTTTTTGGGGGGGGGGGGGTTTTTTTTTTTTTTTTTTTTTGGGGGGGGGGGGTATTTTCTGTTTTATAGTGTTAGATAATTCATCATCTACGATACGCTCATGCTCTGCACCCCAGGAATATGTTAGGATTAAACTGAAGACTCAGTGTGCAAAACCTTGTGGATGATACATGTAATTTAGTCTGATCTTGAAGTCTATCAGGTGCTGCTCCCCTTTAATCTTCAGGTTTAAGCTCAGTAATTGGTTATTTATTTTTACCTTAGACCAATCAGATAGCTACCTTTGTGCCTTCAATTTTCATGACCTATTCCAGGGGTGCAGAGAGAGTAAGTGAGTGTAACCCCAGGAGTATCAAGGATGCTAATTCACAAAATATGGAGAGAAAAAAATCAAGTTAGTTCCTTTTTTCATATGACTTTTAACAACTGATGATCAAACATTATACAAAGGTCAAGTATGAGAATACCTCTGACATCTGTGTTTTAGGGCTCTAAGGTCAAGGTCACTTGCTGTATATAGAAAATCATCAAATTGGGACCCTCAATATATGCATTTTTTTTTTTAATTTCTCCAGAGTAGTAACAGTATGCCTCTTACTAGGGTGTCTGCGTCGAGGAACACAGCTTTTTCAAACATAGTGAGTCGCCAGCAATGGAACTTTGTGAAGGTAACATTGAGATCTGGTCGTCCTAGCAACTGTAGGTTGTCAGGGTCTTTACTGTCCAGTAGGTTTACTTCATACAGCAAGTCAAACACCCGCCGCAACTGGTTCCTGTAAAAAATAAAATATATATCAAATACAAATAAAATATTCTAACAGATATTTGTCAAGTCTTCTTATCGAGATGTTTCACTATAAAAACACTTCTCTTTTCGGAACAGTTTGGCCTTTGTGGAAAGATGTTCCAGAAATCCAGCATTCTTACAATCCAGGCACATTTTCCCTGTGATAAGGGTGGCTTAATTACTCAAGTCTCCAGTGTAGAACACTGCCCTCAACAAATATATGACATCTGTAGTTTAAAACATGTTATACACAGCCTCCATCCCCTTCTTAAGATGTACTTGTATACAAAATTTGGTAATTGTAGGTGACATAGTTTAAATATACAAAATTTGGTAATTGTAGGTGACGTAGTTTAAATATATAAAATATGACCGAGACGAATCTATGAAGCAGATAACAAAGGGCCATAACTCTGTCTCTATATAATAGGGATTAAGGCCTGGGTTTATCACACAACATTCATTCAAAGAAGTTTTCACAAAATGCGGCAATTGTTAGTGACAAGATATTTTCGATATCCTTCAGGCAAAGTGGTAATGCATGTGCAAACCTACAGTCCCCTGCGGCAGTACCAGTAGGGGACTAATAATTCAAAACATTTACTGCCAAAATATGATCTCACAAAATAACTGATGACTTAATAGAACTGAACAATTCCAAAATAGTGACTCACAAAAGTAATGCTAAAATAAGTTTCTCACAAAAAAATATGTATTTGATATTGACATTATAAAATAACTAATAATACCAATAACCAAAATATTCTCCCACAAAAAGTAAGTGATATGTATGAAACACGTAGGTCGGACTCAAGACATCAGATTTTAATGAGCTATTCCCAGAGGGACCAGGTCAGAAATAGTTTTATCAGACCTACGTGCTCACACGCACACCACAGGTTGTCTATGACCTGTCTGTGAGTATTGATGTTATTGTGTATTAGAGCTGAACAATCTCTTCATTGTGTAATAGGGCAATGTCAATCCTGAATGATCAAAACAGGAAGTCAGCAATTATTGATGATTGATCAAGAAGCTAAAACATCCTTCTCAATATATTACAAGGTTAAACAGTACAAAAAACAAAATAAAATGAAAATGAATTTCAGATTATAGTCAAGTAATGGTGAAGGTTAATTGATAGTGTATGTCTGTCTGTCCAACAAAAGTCATAAACACACAATGTAATTACAAAACAATCCAATTGACATGTTATATTAGGGACAGACAGGAACGGCTCATTGACTCTAGCAGAGGAAATATAACATTACAATGGTGTGAAACAATGACTGGATCCTCACCGGACTTGATTGATTGATTGATAGGTTTTACGTCCGCTTCACTACCGTGTAGTGTATTTCGGTTATCCAGCAGACGAAGAACATAGTGGGAGTATTATACAGTCAGACAAAACGAGGGAGTCAGCTAAGGTCACCCTAACCCCCGCGTCCCAATTACCACAGTCTGCAGTATACTCGGTACGTGGAAAATGCATGTACTTGCTTCATACCTTACGTTACAATGCACCTAAGAAATTGTACCAGTAGTGAAAAGGTTAAATCTGTAAATTACAGCCCTGTAGTTTATAACATTGACTTCTACAAGGATTTATGATGACAATGCTAAAGTTTATATTTACCTACATTTATTGAGTACTTGATTGTAATCATAAACTAGCCAACCAAAGCAAAAGATCTATTTAAAGTAACAGTGACTTTGACCTTGGTACAGTGTGCTCCTAGCTACCTACAAACTTGTTAGAGATATCCAAGTACTTGATACACCTCACCTTACTTTGTTGAGAATATGATAATAAATGAGTCTTCTAGCTATAGGGTGATGACAGACAGGCAGACAGACAGGTGGATGGAAGGAAGAGACAAAAACAGTACTTTCTGACCATTTCTCAGTAGATGTGAAAAAAATTGTATTTTCATACAGCTGACATTTGATAGACTTGCTTAAGTCCTCAACAGGACCATACATACCGTTATGCCATGATTTATCTCCTATATATTTGTATACATTTCACACTTTTCAGTGGAACTCTTTGGAAAAAGTGGTTGATAACACATGTAACCAGCATATACCCTTAACTCAAACACAAATGTACCTCCACAGCAACATTTAGGTCAGTGTTATCTTTGGATGCTACACCAAGATAAATATATTTGTCAACATAACCCCCCCCCCCCAGTGATAAACCATTTCAACAATACATTCCAATTGCAACTGATCAAATTATGCCAGCTCCTAGTTTTCCCTATTTGAACAAAGAGTCCATTTCCTAACTAACTTTAACCTTAGATCAAATACTCTAGAATCATAGACAGAGCACTTAGCAATTTAGGAAAATCATCTCAAAATTATTAAAGAACCAGGTTAGTAAATTCTCCCCCNGCTCATACCAGAAAAAGGAAAAGTTGCATTTATAAAGAATGGAGTGCTTATCAAGTTCCATACGGTAGCCTGATTACTGAAGCTAGACATTTTATATTCCATTATTTATCATTATATTGCCTAACGAATCATGCATCAACAAACAGGATGTATACATGTTCTAAAACACTGTCTACCAAAACCTACTTATGTGTTAACTTCTGATGGCGTTTGGATTATATCTCTTTTTCCTTAACCCTATATTCCCATCTAAAACATTACTACTATCTAGAGATTTGTTTTCGTGAACAAAAGCATATGCTACCCTTATCTGCCAATATCTAGCATATTAACTTTAAGTTATTTAAACTTTGACCTGAAGGTGAGGGTCATGATCACCTAAATATAGTGTGCTGCACACCTGCTGTGAACCAGGTATTTTTCAGATAAAATTTCTTCAGTGGTTGCAAAAATTATTACAGCCCAATTTACCAGACTTCACTAGAATTTTCACTTACTAGACCCTTGACCTACAGGTAAAGGTGATTATGATCTAAATGTAATGTACATGTACACAATCCTTTGCTGACCTATGATGGTTCAGGGTTTATCTTTCATTCAAAAGTCTGGATACAAAGTTGCTTGACATTTTACACTTATATTTAACCTTTGACCTTAAGTAAAGTTCACAGTGACCTTATTAAAGGGCAATTATAGCATTCAGGTTTCATCAAGATAATCTTTACCAGTTAAAAAGTTATGGTCTGCACAAGATTTCACTCAAAATTTTAAACTTATTTCACCTTTGATCTGGAGGCCACAATGACCTAATTACAGTGCACTGCTCACCTTATGTAGGTTATGCAGGTGTAATTTAAGTTTAATCAAGATATCTTGTATGGTTTAAAAGGTATGGCCCGGGCAAAAGCAACATTATATTTAGAAAGAACAACAAAACTTCAAGAACCATTACTAACTTAGTGTGGTCTCCCTTTTTTACAAGAGGCCTGATCATGAACATTTAGACAAGTTCAGTAATTAATCTACAACTGATTTTTTACAAGTCCTTTTCAACGGTATTGCTAAAAACAATGAGTCCCACAATGTTAAATTAAAGTATTTCCAGAGATTCTGCGAGTCCCATAAAAATTCTTTGAGTATAGGACTCGCATGTAGATTGATCACTTTAATTTAACTTTAAAATTGCCTATTGTATCACTAAAATTTATCAAGTCTTATAAAAACATTTTCAATTTGCTACATACAAATTGTAACAGCTATTTTGCCTATTCTAACAAATAATTTCCACTTATAACCTTTATCAGCCATTTGAGTGAAACCAAAAATATTTGACATGTTCTTGTATATCGGGAAACGAAATGTAAGAAAACCATTCAAACAACATCAGTTTTAAAGTAAACTAGGTGTTTATGATTCAGTCAGTCTGAACAATGGAAATGCATCAGAAATAGTACATCGGTCAATACTGATGGATTTTTCATATAAAAAGGACCAATCCAGATCGTGGGAATTCAGTTACTGAAAGCTCTGTTAGCTTAACATCATCTTAACAAACCTTTTCCAAATAACATTTTTACCTGATGAGAGTTATTTTTCAAGTGATTTTACATTGTTTTGCTGATAGTTATTAAACTAAACCCAACCACATTTAAAAGATTTGTTTGTTGAATTTCAACGATAGTAAAAAAAAATCTATCAAAATCACAAACACTTAACATTTGCCAACTTAGCATGAATCCATGTAGAAAGACTTGAAACAGCTGGGAGCATGGTGACTGGATCCCGACTTAGTCTGACACTTCATGCTAGTTACTCGGACCGAGAAACCACTCGCCAGTAATTGACTAGTACTGGGTATATACAGGATGCCTACATTCACCACATTCCTGCTTTCCTATGTAACTTGGATGTACACGTAAAACAGATCTATACATCAATCATTCTAAAGGACATTAAATTTCAGGCAAAACATGTAATTTATTGACAAATTCAATAAGTATGTGAGTATCTACATGCTAAATTACATACAGTACCCAAGTCATGTGTTCTCCACGCACACTGCCTCCCTACATTTCAGGACCTTCGAGAGGCTATTTAACGATAAATATCACCTAACACATGTAGTATCCCTGTTATTTGTATCTCCCTTGAAAACATTAAGATAGCATTATTTTGCTAAATCCTTTTGTACCTTTCAAATATGTCATATAATCAGGTTAATATTGTTCAGATTACAATCACCTGGTACCATATTTATCATGCAAGACAGCAATATTTAGCCCAGTTGGCAGGGTAAAGTATTAGATTAAAAGTCAGAGGATAGGAAACATAGGTTATACAGGTTTTATAGCAAATTGATCAATATCAGAACTTTGAAAAAAACAATGGTGGGTGTGTATTGCCAGGCATTGGTTTATTTCAGTTAGTAGTTTAAGATAATTTTTCAGTTTGTTTTATTGTAGATTGCCATGGAAAGGTGATGCAGAATAAATTACACATAGTATGCATGCAGAAGATTTAAAAACAAGAGGCCAATAGGGCCTGTATCGCTCAAATAAAAGTACTCCTACAAATATTTCCATATAT